GGCTCGCGCGTGCGCCGCTCGCGCTCGCAAGGTACCCGCAAACTGCACAAGTGCCTGTCCACGGCGTCCGACGTGTACGCCGCGCCCCCCGCCCCGCAGCACTCGCTGCTGACGACGCGCCAGTATTGCAGTTTTGGTAGTACAGTCACCTTGTACCGAGTCCACTCGGCTAAGTCTCCTTCCGTTCTGAGGCAGTCGCAGTTCTTCCTTTTGGTTTTTATCTTTTGTTCGTTATGTTTTATGCCTTTTCCTCGGCGACGTCGAGCGCTCGCTTGAGCCGGCGCACGCGCATGGGTGCATCCCGCACGTCGTGCGCAGCAACTTGAGCTTAAGTGAACTAAGAAGGCATTGTGGCTGACGTTGTTGTCCGCAGCAAGTGAAGCTACGCTTTGTCTGTAATGTGTATGTTTGGTAACTTGGTAATGTGAGCTGATCAAGCGCGCTCAGAGGTCTGTCAATTACTCTCACTTGTATCTCTTCGTTATTTTTTGTTAATTTAACTTTTTATTCTTTGGTTTCTCACACTCACTGAAATACTTCTTTCCATTACTAAATACTCAAACATGTTGACTGCTGTGAGTTCGAAGATGACCCACTGATTGCGAATGTGATGACTTTAGTCTGAATATGTTACTTATCTTGGTACACTCATTGTAAACATCCGAGACATCTTCAAACTCACATCAATTTGTTCGTAACATAATATTGGTGATTGATCACCAGAACCTTACATACATGTAATATTTAGTGTTGTCAATGTTATATGGACATAAGCTGCAGAACACCGCGCCTCTGTCTCATACAGACTGGAACTGTGAACATTTTTATTCAGCCCCTTATTATTTGCTGAAGCATGTGTTGATCTGTTGAGTTACTTCCATATTTATTTATTTGAAATATTTCCAATTTCAGATCGGAATCATTTAATAGGTAACCATTCGAATATTCCTCACCTATCGTATTTTAAGTTATAATTTGGTTTATCTAGTTGTTACATCCGAGTAGAGTTATCCTTGGTTGTCATTCCGAATCCGAGCTAGAATGAGTTCCTCGTGTTTGATGGTGTTTCATGTATGTCCATGTCGGCTTGAGAACTACTCTTGTTGTACAGTATGTGGAGAGACGGCCGCCGCGCAGCGCTCGTCGGGCCCCTGGGCCCCCGAGTGGTGGTCCAGTGGGGGCCCGGTGAGCGCCGCGTGGCGCCCGCCGGCCCTGTGCTCGTGCTTGTAACATATTGTGATTTTGTTTGTCGGTACAGAACCCACTGTTCCGCAGACTCTCGCATCTATGGAGTACTTACACATTATGCAACCCAATGGTACCCAAACAACATTTGCATCGTTTCATTTATTCTTATGTTCTTTGGTATGGTGTTCGTTTATTTCCGCTTGTGCGTGCCGCACGTAGCCGCTCCTAGTGCGACGTGGCTGTGACTGTCTTGTAATGTACCGCACACACTATTGTCTGCGCACTCTTGTATCCGATCTCTGACTGGCATGACTCATACTTGTACAACTAAAAGGTGACTTACTACTCAAAACTATTTTATGTCTATCACTGTATCACTGTTATTGTTACGATGAACGAGCCCTACAGTATATCTATATGTTATATATACCTATATATGTGCATTCTACAAGCGAGGCTTTCCACATTGTGCGAGTCACATGACCTTACCATTGTCGTTGCGCTCCCGAGCGATCACGTTTTCTTTATTTGCCTTCGTGTGCAGCGCCTGCCGTCTGCTGTACCTGTAATCTTGCTACGCTGCTCCGTGTCCAGTACATTAATGTTATTTCTTTTTCTAGCCCGACCAAATGTTAGTATGGCTCGTTTTGGCTGGCTGTACTGTATTCGGCTGTGTCTGTATGCTTCCGTACGTTACACGTAGTAGAGAGCCGTAGCTGCATGCGCACGCCTGGGCCCGTCGGCTGGCCGTCCAGTGCTGGCCCCTGGTGCTCCCAGCCCTCACCCACCTTACGTTGCGTTCGTTGGCTCGTAGCTTGCACTCGTTCTGTTGAGTCGTCCGTAGCGGTCGGTTCGCTTCTCATCCGCTGTACTAACTCATCATAGAGCTGTTTATCGATGTGCTCGTTACGTTAACTTATACTAACGTCTAACTGTACGGACAAAGTAACGTTAATGGCGCGGCCGGTGTCCGGTCCGCCGCCTCACTAGCGCCGGGTACCATTCTATGTCTGGGTCAGAGCACTAACCGTGGAGGATCGGCGACTAATAATATCAAACATAACTCGACATCAACAAGACGTTGTGCAAATAAGCTGAGATTGGCGCCGGCATGCATCGCCTCACTATCTTCTGAGCATGATCTATTATTATATTGATTCCTTATATCGACTTGTATCTCCACCGCACTGGTGTATGGCACTCGACTAATAATTTCAGCTAATTTCACAACAGCACCAATAACACTAAGCCGTGAGCTGAGCTCGCTTTAGTCTGCAACCTTATCTACCATGTAGACTAGTGCACCTGCGGCGCCGGCGAGGAACTCGACCACATCTATTCTGACTGCGGACCACTGAGATAAGTTCAAACAAAGCATAGGAGCAATACCCGATAGCGCTTGCAATTTAATTTAAAACGAGCGCTTCACAGAATGTTGTAATAAAGCAACTTGTGGATGTATATCACGTGGCTTCATAGTTGCAGTGTGCGCTATTGCGACAGAGCGAGTTATTCTCGCTCGGCAATACTTTCTTAGCCGCTTGTAGTGGTCCGCAGTGTAGTGGCGTAGAGTAGAGGGTCCCTCCCCGGCGCCGCGCCGCGCGGCCCGTGTCCGGCGGACGCAGTAATCCGTGTGTGTGTATGTTGCCAACCGGCCGGGTAGACAAGCTGGACAGCTCGTTCTCGCGCTCGCGCTCCAGCTCCATGTCCAGCCTGGAGAACATCTCGCAGGAGGGCATCCAGTGCCTCGCCTTCGCTGACAGCTATACTAAAAAGTCTGGTGAGTATTACTTTATATGTTTATTATATATGTACACACATAAAACATAAAGGACAACACATATAATTATATATATATATATATATATATATATATATATATATATATATATATATATATATTATATTCTATTCTATTCTTATAGGAAATTTGTAGCACCTGTAGTAGAGAAAGTAATATTGATATAAGACACAGTCTATAATAAAAAAAATAGAAAATTAACAAAGAAAACAGATTAAAAACAAAAAATGCATCTGTAGAATAGAGTCAGGCGTTTTATTTTGCGGAATTTCATGCTGCACTAACAACAGTTTTTTAACCTTTAGCCAAAGGAAAACTAAATACTTTCCGAGGGTGTTTACTTTGAAACCAATCATATCAATGCAATTGCAATCCAATGAAAACTCAATTATTATTCAATATCAAAACTATACAACCTCTATTGTAACTGTTAAAACAGCATTCAGACTACGGAATATAGAGGTAAAGCCAAACTCAATACCATTTAGTTCATTCAATATCCTCCCAATACGGATGCAATGGGCGCTAGTGTTGCAACTCAAAAGTACGAAATTTCCCAATATCAATGTCGATCGATCGGAATTGGATTCAAGAGTAAGCCCACAGGTGTTAATGAAAAAAATGCATATATGTACATATTAAATACACATACAAATTATTATACTTTGAAGATATTATTTTCTCACTCGTACCTTCCTAAATATTAAATTATCAGCGATTTTACTTTAAATAAAGTACTTAAATCAGATGATAGTCACTCCATCACCAACCAACAATCCTTAAGATACGTCTCGCAAGGAACATGATTCCTTTTCATTCCTAAATGCTATTGTATGTGTATTTGCAAGTACCTAAATATATTTGGACTCAATGCAGACCCCACGGCGCTGACTCCGACGCTATGGATCGGCACGACGCTGGGCTCCGTGCTGACGCTGAGCATCACGCTGCCCGAGGCAGAGCTCCGCCACACGCAGCCCGTGCACGTCACCACCAGCGGTCTGTACCCTGCGCACTCCACCGATATTATTAAAATAATGTAATCACATCTGTTCTTCAAATAGATATTAATGAAAGCTTTTGTTCGCAGGTGGTCCGTTGTTTAGGTTAAAGGGTTCAATCCTAACTATGTCATTTCTTGACTGCAATGGTGCTTTAATACCTTACTCTTACGAAAGTTGGAGAGACGACAGTAAAGATGTAAGTAGACGTGATGCAGCACACTGCGCCCTAGCTCTCGGGCCACAGGGTGCTGTATATAATATTGATAGAAGCTTCCAAGAGTTCATAACTCCAGCTCTCTTGATGTCTGTATGCCGTGGTAGAAGCTACATCGGAGACGAAACCATCTCTGCGTACACACTGGCTCTAGGCACTTATTTTGAGTGTAACGCCTACGGTTATGAAAGAGTCTTGGGTAATGCATTTAATTCACCTCTAATAATACCGCTGAATGGCGTAGTTTACCTGGAATTATTACAACTCCGTTCTGATGAGAATTTCCAAAATCTAAGTGCTCTATTGGACTTAACTATGTAGTTTCCGGATAGAGCCCGAACTGAAATCTTTTTTAGGCTGAACCTCTTTCTTGGTTTTTAACTTGTCACTTGTCACTTGTCACTTGTATTTACCCCAGACACATATTGTAGGTGAGAGACCGGCGCGAGCGCACGCCCACGAAGCAGAGCTCGTCCAGCAGTGGGAGCCGCATGAGTCCCACGCCGGGCGCGGACGTGGCCGGGGACCGACAGTTCGTGGTGGTGGCCTCCGAGAAGCAGGCGCGCGTCGTGGCGCTGCCCAGCCAGAACTGTGTCTACAGGCAACAGATCGTAGAGACTGACTTCGTCGTCAAGGCCGAAATTGTTAGCTTGAAAGGTGCATTCAACATTATTTATTATATTTACAGGGATCTTAAAAGCCATATTAATTCAGATAATAACGAGGAAGGCTTCGCTTGCAGACAGCGTATGCTTGGTGAACTACTTGTCGACGGGCCACCTGGTGGCATACAGCCTGCCGTCTCTGCGGCCGCTGGTCGACGTGGACTTCTTGCCGCTGTCAGAGCTCGGGTACGTGCTCGCCAGTTCAACGTAATCTGGCCTATTCCGGCCCATTCCGGCCCAGTTGGCGGTGCCACGTCCCGGCCCGGGCCCGGGACGGCACGTGGCGCCGTACGACCCCGCGCCCGAGTCGCACTCTCCGAATGACAGACCGGCGCCACACAGATCACTATTAGACAATTTCTATGCACCAAAAGAAGGCACTAAATGATAAACGGCTTGTTTTATAATATAGTACTTACCTTTTATCATTAGCTTCGCAGTTTTATCATGTTGAATGCTACTTGGGCTACAGGAGATATTTCATGTTTACGGTTATCGCATTCATTATATTGGTCATAAGGTTTTAGCTATACCGATCATTCGCTATTTTATCATTTGGGAGCCTAACGACAGACTTCCTGTACAGTAACGATCGATGTTAGAAACGTAGCCTTGTTTGGCGCAAGACACCGTACGCGGCCCCCAGCCGACCCCGGCCGACCCCGGCCGACCCCAGTCGCGCCCCGCAAACGACACGGGTCTGCGCCAAACAAGCGACGGTGTCATCTTATACATGAGACACGACGCATCGAACTCGCGGCTACTAGAACTAGACAAAATTTTGCAGTCTGTCGAGCACCACCTGTGCTTCCGATATTTGGCACTCTTCTATTTTTCAGTTGAAAAGTAAACGATCGAAGGCTCTAACACAACACACGTTCTATACAATGCGCCGCTCTGGCGACTTTATGAGAAAACACCGTATCACTTTCTAACAACTCAACTGTTTATTTGGTGCTGCAAATGTCTGTGGATGTAAATACACACCGGTTACCCGACACAACGCCACGGAATGCAACCGACACGCCCCGCGCTAGCCCTCCGACCATGTTACGATAGTGTGTACTGCCCTGCATCTCTTACATCTAACTTCTCACCCTTAGAACAATGATGGATTACTAACGTGCGCGTGCCTCGCCTTTGTGAGAGCCCAGTGTTGGCGCCCCCGGCCTGGCGCCCTGGCCCCGCGGGGCCCTGACGGGCGCCAGGCCGGGGGCGCCACACAAGGGCGGGACGCGCCGGCGATCTCGCGCTCACTGCTGTCTGTGTTCCTGGTAGCTTCCAGACACAGTCCAAACAGAGGGGTATCGTAGACCCAATGCTGTCCATATGGGGCCAGCAGCTCATTGTTAACGAGGACACCGACCAGTAAGTCGCCGTCCATGCAGATGACATGCGTTAGCCACGTACCGTCACTTGTCATGTGGAGTCGCTCACTCCGGCCTCTGTTGCCTACTAGACATATTCATGTAACGTTGACAGTTGCTTCGTCCCCTCATCCCCGAGCCCATAGTTGCCCGCCCCGACCTCGCCTGTTCTCTATCATTGATGTTTCCGCTCGGCCACGGGCAAATCATTGCGCGCTACGGAATTACTACGACTACCAAAATTGGCGATAGATGTAAAACATGACTCAAAGCAAAATTATCTGTTACATGGCGACCACCTTGTCGTATACGAGTGACATCGCAGGTTGTGTCGTAAGAGGCCCCGCCTGGCCCCGCGCGGTTCGAATGATTTGCCCCCGGAGCTGCCCTGCACGTGTGCTTCCCTAGTGCTGGTCCGGCCCTGTGCCCCGAGACACACACACACACACTCGTGTACAGTGACACGCACTCACCCTCACACTCACTCTCTGAGACCTCTCCTAGTCTCCTACTTCCTGGCTGGGCTGCTACTCTGCTCTGTTTCGTGTTGTTCTTACTCGTTCTTCGCTTGCAGCATGCTCGCTTTTGGATGTTATATTTTTCATTTCAATGTCGATCCTGTCATAGAGTAGTCGCGGTAGTACTCCATAGTTACGCTTATATGTTAGAATAAAGTTTGTCCAATAGACTCCCGACCGTGGAACGCAAGGATACATCAGGTGAGACGTTTCAATTGATAGACATCTTTCCCCCACTTTAACAACTTCGCTCTTGGTCTATAAGTCTACCTTCTCTTTCTTCTTGGACTATGAACAATATATACGCAACATACAAACGCCAGTCTGTACCTCGCGACTCCTCTTGTAAAACGTTCCTCGTGTGTGGTATTGCAGGATTGCGAAGACTTTCTGCTTCAGCAACAGAGGTCACGGCCTGTATCTAGCGTCCCCTACAGAAGTACAGAAGTTCACCATTGACGCTGAGTTCTGGTCAGTATATACCCGGCCACCGGCACAGCAGTGCTTGCTCCGTGTGGAGACGCGTGGTGACGTCACGTCCTGTCCTCGTGTTACAGTCAGCAGCTGAACGAGATGATCGGCGAGCTGTTCCTGCCGCGCGACATGCCCGAGCCGCCCAAGGAGAGCTTCTTCCGGGGCCTGTTCGGCGGCGGCGCCAGGCCTCTCGACCGGGAGGAACTATGTCAGTATCCACAACAAGCTATCACTAGGTGAATCCCATCCCAATGACTAAGACGTAGTGTCGAGTGACGTGGTGGTGGCTGGTTCCAGTCGGCGAGAGTAGCGGCAAGCCCCTGCGCACCGTGGCCAAGCACATCCCGGGCGGCGCCGCGCCGCTGGACGCGCTGGGCGCGCGCGCCGGCTCCGCGGCCGCCGACGTGGCGCGCGCGCACCAGCTCGTGCTGGAGCGCGGCGACAAGCTGTCCCAGCTGGAGGACCGCACGGAGCGCATGCACAACCAGGCGGCCGAGTTCTCGTCGTCCGCGCACCAGCTCATGCTCAAGTACAAGGACAAGAAGTGGTACCAGCTGTGAGGCGGCCGCGCCCCGGGGCCGGGTCGAGCGCCGCCGCCCGCCGCGGTGCGGGTTCGACTCCGCGAGGGGTTCTGGCTGTCGTTGAATGCCACAGAGTGCTTTATTCTGATATTGTAATAGCGCGACGATCGCTTCAGTCCCGCGGCCTGGCTCCCGGCGCGCGGTCTCGTCGAACGCACAAACAGTACTCCGAGATGTCCCGGCTCCGCTCCACGTCGGTGCGTGTACGCGACGCCCCGGCCGGCTCGCTCCGCATCCGGTCGAGCGATGTGATAATGTAAATAAATCGAAACCATTCATAAATACTAATTTACTTAAAACTCTTTTTATACAAGTAATACAGTAGTGTCCCGCCGGTAGCTGCAGCAAGTCGCCCTGCTCCCTGCGTCCACTGCAGCAAGCTACGACCGACCATTCGTTACATCACTATACAATAACGTCGCGACTGCGAGACTAGTGCTGCCAGCTCTCGGCTACAGGAGATTAATTCAATGTTGCTATTACATACACGTAGGTGTACATTTATAGATACAAATAAAGTGTAATGTGTAAGGATAGTCGACGATGTTGATCTGTATAAAGTAGGTAAAATAATATAAAGAAAATAATAAATTATAAAGATTGGAAGTTTAAGCATTGGATGACAATAATTTTTGTTACTTCTCACTGGAGATTACTTTGACAGCAGACGCGTAGTTTCCTTTCAGTTCGACCCACGTGTCGCCGCGCCGCAAGTTGTCGCGAGCGCCTCGTCTCCTTGCTGACTGCTAGCACTTGTTGTATATTGTATCAGAGTATGTCGAGTTATATCAGAGTATGTCGAGTTATATCAGAGTATGTCGAGTTATAGCAATACTGCGGGCTGTCGCTGCTGCCAGCCCACAGGAACCAGACCAATCGGTGTCGTATCGGTGTTGCTAGCTAAAATTAAACAGAGTAAAAAAGCGATAACTATCATGTATAAATTAATAATAATATAAAGCTACGTTGTATATCGCCGGTATTGTTTAAGTGAGCGGCGAGGGACTGGTCCCGCATGCCACGTGGCAGTGGTCCAGTCGGTCGGCGCTATAAGTCGAGTAGTAATGTATCGGTGTATCGCGGCAATAATCTGTCCTGTCTGTGCCACTACATGGCGCGCGCCGCGACTGTACCCGCGTGTCTCAGTCGATGGCCTTCCTTACTAACTTAGCTTCAACATTGTATCCCTTAGCTGTGCTACTTCACTTTGTAATTAGTTTTATTTGCAGACATACTCCGTGTACGGATGATGTCGGATGCCAAACTGTGTACTCTTCTATTGTTCATGCTGTTATAATTAATTGATAACGTAATGAATACAAAATAGTAATCGTGTAATAAGTTGATGTAGTGCGGACGTGCTTGTCACGCGCTGTCCCAGTACAATATCACTGTTTTAACCAAATTATTTTGTTACGTAGTCGTCTCGGACGAATTTTATTCAAGGAATATTTTCATAATAAATTTTACAGAATTTTATGGCTCAATCAGACTAAAAAGCTAAAGCGTAATTAACGTAAACTCTTATTTCGGTTAAGCGGCCCCACGCCGGCATGGCGCCGCCGCCGCCGTATTGTATTCGAATGGCATATCAGTGGTACCTATATATCACCGTAACTGACTTTATGGTAAGATCATATAGTTTTGAGATGCCGCTTTCCACGTTTTCTACTTACCTTTAAATATGATATATATTGTAAGAGCGGAAGTATTATTTCTCTGCGTCATGTAACACTATGCATAGGAATGATCAGTCTCTAGGACAAATGTCTAGCCGACAGTTCTATACATACAATGCTCGCTAATAGAATTTATTTTTATCATAGAAATATAAATATTGAAACCAAGTTTCATCGTTGATACAGTAAAATTTATTTGAATATAATTAATATTATTATGAGCCTTCTGCCCGCAGCCGCCTACGTAGTAGCGCGCGGCTGCGGACAGATGGCGCTCGCCACGCGCGTCTAGTCCTCGTGATGTCACCTCGTGTCGCCATGTACCTCATGCTCCGTGCAATATTATAACTATTTACATGTAAATGACAAGTTAAGTTTCTCAATTCTATTACTTGTTACTGATAGAGGAAGTTCGTTGCATGTAGTCGACAGTCTGCGTAACGCAACTAGCGTTGCTAGCGCACCACGGTTCCATTACACACGCTGACGATTCATTTGGAAATTATGGGACTAAAATATAAATATAAGTATTTGTAAATAAATAATAAAAGAAACAAAAATCTTGTGGCAAATATTACTTGTTATGTAACGACGACGTGTAGAGTTCATTTCAATATGATTTTGTATGATTAGAGGACGAGTGTCTCTTGTCTAATCGTTCAGAAACGAGGGTCATAAACAAGTATAAAACTATACATATTGTATATAATGGATGCTGTTGAATTATATTGATTATTTAGTTTGGTAGATGATTATTATAGTCATTATATATAAATAAATTATAAAATATGAAAATAAAATTATATCAAAGTATTGAGTTGTTTTATTACTTACCGAAATTGTTTTGCAGGGTTGTTTCCATAATAACTACCTGGAGTAACTACTATCTTGAGGGATTGCTCACGTGAATACGAGTACTGAGAAAAGCGCTACTATTATATTATAGTTACCTACTAACTACACATTATTTCAATACCTACATAAAAATACTTAAAAATAGTTGAGTCCGGCCAGTTTACCCGCTGGACTGGTACCTCTTACTGATGGACGTCTCCTCGGATCTATATTACTATACAAGGTGTCCCTGAAGTAGACGATCAAATGACACAAGGTGATCAGCAAGGTTCTAACAGTTACCAGCAAAATATAATAAAGAATTCAAGTCCTATAGTTTTTAAATTACAATGACTTGCGATTATCACGAAAAAGTACACGTGTGTCAATCTTTTCACTCTTGCATCAAACTCGCACTAAGGCCTCAGTATTCGGGCGTAAATGACATTACAATGTTTTCGGCTTGCTCACGTAATAATACCCGAGGGTATTGAATTTTTTGCCAAGCAGTTTACAAATTCTGGAAAAAGTAAGTCTGTAGGCGCAAGGTAGGTCAACCAAAGTCGCGAAGTTCATTTTTAGATTGAAATTTCCAGAAGGGAAGTGAGCAAACCAACAACAGACGGTGCGTCGTTAATGTGTCGCTTGTGACGCATTGTTACCACGACGGTACTCGTATTCCATAATTACTCGATTTTTTTAGCATACCCATAATGACGAAGATTGAAATGTGATGAAAATGTAACACTTACAATAAACAAATAGACACTACTTTTGGAAAAAATCTTAGATTATAATAAAATTAATTTGAAATTATAATTCTTAGCCAAACAAAAATTACTTTGTTTTTCAAAAGCTGCAGACCGGCAATTTCGTAGGTAAAGACCTAACATTTAATCGATATCTTCGGTTCACTAACAAAGTGGATGACGGGAAAAGGACAGGTCGTGTCGTAGGTATGATGTTGTTTGGATATCTGCCGCAATAAGACAAGTTATATTGAGCAACTTTTTTTAATAAAACTTTAACTATGATATAAATACAATAGAATACATACGAGCATTTATTATGTCTCGGGCGTGTCGGGCGCGGCGCTGTCGCCCGGAAGGCACGGTTCTCGTTTGGAACGGCACTACAGCTGTCTCACATAGCTCGACGAACTACTACATGCACATTGCACGTGACGTCATCACAACTTGCAGTGCTTTCAAAGACAACATACTAATTATGGAATCAAAAGTTACAATCACTTTACATTACAATTTCTGTGAGAAACAGCGGATAGCAGACGTCGAGGTGAGTGGACTACGCGGTGCTGGGCGGCCACCATACGGCCGCGATATGGACGAGGGAGGTACAGAGTTGGCTACAGTCGACAGATACAAGTTGTGTACAAAGCGTAGACTAGTAAGCAGAACATGGAGGACGGTCGCGGTTAGCTGAAGTAGAAATCCAAAACGTAGACATTATCACAAAGTCCTGTACATTGTATAAGTCGTCCAAAGAGTTCGAGCAAGCGAACCGAGACATGCAGTCGTAAGGATCACAATATGTTATCACACTCGCCCAATACAAAACACTAATATGTATATTTCACTAAGAAACTTGACTAATTTATCCAAAAGTTACTTTTGTATTATATTTTGTAAATTATCTAAAACCAACCAACTTGTACACTGGCCGTGCAAGTGACAGCTACTGTCCAGGACAGGAGCGTGTATACGGAATATCAAGTGTCGCAGTATTTCCACACGTGTGTACGTGTACCGGGACTACAATAAGAAATCAACAACATTACCTACACGCTTACATTTAGTTAAATATAAAATTTGACAACAAGACCCAAAGGCAACTAATTGCACTAATACAATGTTACGTTCACAGCGTCCCATGCTAACACTACAGTACTCCGTGAGATACAACAAACAAACAAACACAGACACAGACAGTCCGTGCGTACAAGTACCGCGGCCGGGAATGAGTAGTGAGCTAACTGTAAACTATACGATATGGACTTCAATATGTCTGCGGTACATTGAAATGTTAACCACTTACTACACAGCCACACTGCCTTCACTCGTCAAACAAACTTACACAATCAATCCATTTTAGACTCAAAACAACTTGCTATAAGGTGTACATTAGTGTGGCAATTGATAAATTTTCCTTGCAAACAATTATATTGCACCAATTGTTAACATTCGCTAAGTCACACCCGCCCCACGACCCACGGTATACTAGCTGACACTCAGCCCAGTACATGCTTCTGGTAGTACTCATGTTACTGGTACTACGCATACTACAGGTGATGTATCCAATACCTAGGCAATGTATATTTATTTTGTTTAAATAACGTATAAAACATTACGTATGAACCTCCTAGGGATTGTATACACTGCACAGTACACGTGTTGAGGGGGGGGGGGGTACATTTAATGTATGCTATACACAATACTAATTTATTCAACAAAACAACATTATATTCACTATATTGCGCATCCCGAGTCACATTTTGGCTTTAATCAGGAATCAAACAAGTATTCGTGACATTTGGCACCGAGCAGACATGCTGTGTAATACTAAACCCATTCTTGCAGACCTCGTGTGGGGAACGAAACCAAGTGGCACTAACCTATTGATATATCGAGAGGATATGTTCACAAACTATGTCTAAGCGGGAAGCGAACGCGTTGCGGCTAGCTAGTGGCTAGTAGCCAGCACTAGTAGCTACCTAGCATAGCGTCATACAGGCGTCGCCGGGAACATACGGGAACATAAGTACACGGAGCGAGGGCCTGCGCGACTAACAGCAAGCTGCGCCTGCGCCGTCTGCCGCCTGCCTACTGGCCACTGGCTACTGGCCACTGGCCTCCGGCTACTGGCCACCGGCCACCGGCTTCTGGCCACCGGCCACTGGCCACTAGCCACCGGCTTCTGGCCACCGGCCACTGGCCACTAGCCACCGGCCACTGGCGGCACTGAGATCAAGCCGTGAATATTACAACAACAGGCGCAGTGACAGCGTAGTGGGGAGTGGCTCAGTAACATTCGCTACAATATCAAACAATTTAATACACGGAGTAAAGCTCGATAATTGTCCAAATTATATGTACTATATACAAATATACATGTTGCGACTGTGATCGCAGTCTGTGTCCATACTGCGCCCTCAACGTGTCCGCAATGTGACACCGACTGACAGACTGACAGACTATCTCTATGTCATTTGTTCAATACTAATATATAGTTTATGATATTTGTATTATTTTACTTAAACTAGTATTGATTACAAGTATATGATTAGGAAATACTTAAGTATGATTTCTTCCCTGATTTATATTAAAAACACTTACTTGTAAGACACATTGAATTCGATACATACATATATATATATAAATGCAAATTTCGTAATCACCGGCGAGCCTTACGAGTAGTTCATCACTGATAATCACAACGTATTCCTATAGACAGGTATAAAGGAATCGATCACAAGTCTTTTACGGAGTCGCACGTTACGAGAATTTGAAGGTGAATAGATCTAGAGGGGAGTATCGCAACGAGCCAGGCGCGGGGGCGCGGTCGCCGGGGGCGGGGGCGCGGCCGGGCGCG